ACCACTGTCCTCACCACCACTGTCCCCACTGGTTCCACCACCGTCCCTAGTGTCCCCACCAGTGCCCCCACCACTGTCGCACTGACCCCACTGTCCCCACCACTGTTCCCACCACGGTTCCACTCTCCCCAGTTTCTCCACGGCCCCAACCACTGCCCGACTATCCCCACTGTCCCCACTTTCCCACTGTCTCCTCCGCTGTCCCACTGAGCTGTCCCACTGTTCCCACCACTGTCCTCACTGTCCCCACCACTGTCCCCACTGTACCTCTGTCCCATTGTCCCACCGCCGTCCTGGCCACCGCCCTCACCACTCTCCCCACCACCACTGTACCCTCCACTGTCCCACTGTTTCCACCACATTCCCACTGTCCCCACACCACTGTCCACACCACCACCGTCCCCACCACTGTCCCACTGTCCCCACTGTCCCCACCATTGTCCCCGCTGTCCCCACCAGTGCCCCCACCAGTGTGTCAATGTCCCCACTCTCCCCACCATTGTCCCACCACGGTCCCGCTCTCCCAACTTTCCCCACGGTCCCCACCACTGCCCCAGTGTTCCCACTGTACCCACTACTGTCCCACTATCCCACTGTGCTGTCCCACTGTGCTGTCCCAGCGTCCCCACTGTCCCCCTCACTGTCCCACTGTCCCCACTGTCCCCACCACTTTCCCCGCCGTGCTACTGTCCCACCACTATCCTCACCACCGCCTTCACCACTGTCCCCACCACTACCGTCCCCACCACTGTCCCACTGTCCTCACCACTGTCCCGCTGTCCCCTCACCACTGTCCCCACCACCACCGTCCCCACCACTGTCCGCACCCCCCCCGGTTTTCGAGGGGGGGGGAGGTTCGAACCGGTAAAGACCCTCCCGGTTTTCGAGGGGGGGGGGGTTCGAACCGGTAGTGGCCCCCGCCTTTTCATGATGAACTGGGGGGGGGGTCGAACCCGTAAAGACCCCCCCCCCGGTTTTCCGGAGTGGGGGGGGGTCGAACCGGTACTGACCCCCCCGGTTTTCCGCCAGCAGCGGTAGAACACGCTCTTTCCATCCTCCCTATCCCTCTCGTTCGTGTCCTCCTTCCCTGTTCCCGTCCTGGCCCCTGCGAACTGTACTCCATCTTCTCCTCAACCTACTGATGCTGCGTCTCATCCTTCTCCTTCTGCATCTTCTCCTCCTAATACTCCACACCTCCTCGCCATCCTCATCGCTCTCCGTCTTCTTTTGCCCGTAGAATATGGTCCTCCTCCTCCTCCTCCTCCTCCTCCTCCTCCTCCTTAGTCATCTTCTCGTCGTCACACTGCTTCTGACGCACCCACCCTTCCCCTCACCCTTACCGGCCCTCCTATTCACCCTCCTCATGCTACTCATTGCCCTTCTCTTCTTCCTCCTCTCTCTCTCTCTCTTTCTCGTTCCTGTCCTCATGCCCACGAGCTGCGAGACCAGGTCCGCGTTCTCTTTGGCGAGGGCGGTGATCTCGTCCTGGATGGACGGGCGGTCGCCGTCGTGGGAGGAGGGGGGAAGAAAGAGGGAGGAGGGCAAGGAAAACGGAGGAGGAGGAGGATGGGGAGGGGGAGCAGGATTTAGACAGGGGCCAGAAACAAATGTATGAGGAAATCGTGGCGGGGAGGAGGGACAGAAAGTCTTCCTCATCATCCTTCCCATCCTGAGGCGCCTCCTCCTCCTCTCCTCTCCAAACAGGGGTGGGCGGGAAGGGAATGGGGAGGGGAATGGGAAGGGGGAGGGGTGGGAGGGGGGCATTGGAGAGGGGGGACATGGAGCATCTGAGAGAGAGCAGGGAGGGAAGACTGAAGGGCTAAATGAAATAGGAAAACGATAATGACCCCAAAATAACTTCTCCACCTCAAAGAAGGAATACGGACAACACACTGAGCTTCCAATGCAATTCGCAATGTTCCATGTTGAGTCCACCTTAGAGGCTTCATCCCGACCCTATCTTAAACCATAGTCGGTGACCGTGGTAGTCTCCCGAATCAAACGCTGAGCCCCTATCTGCGGGCGGAACTTCGGCAGGCCCCATGACGACTACGATGAGCTGTGGGTGGGTCGCGGGAAGGTCGTCGGCGTCGCGGGGAATGCCGAAGGTGGGTCGGGCTGCGGGAGTCACGGGTGGGCCGGGTCGCAAGTGGGTCGAGGCGCTGGTGGGTCACGGGGGGGACGCGGCGCGGATGGGTCGCGGGTGGGTGGCAAGGCGGGTCTCGCGGCGACAACGGAAACAGAGATACCAACGATGATCCGCACCGCTGCCCCACTTCAGCCACGCACCGAAGGGAGGTAAGACATTGCTCGGCCTTCTCATTTTGACAAGGTGGGCGACGCATGAGGCGGGGGAAGCCGTGTTAGTACTACATCTCTGACAAAGTGGGCTCGAGAGCCCTTCTGCACGGGAGGTCTGGATCTTCCTTAGTTCGGCCCAGTGCGAAGCAATCGATAACCCAATCCCCAATGCATCGAAACCCACATGCGTCCATCTGCCCCTTCAAATCCAATGCGACTCGGTCCCGGTAGACGAATGCAACCCTGAGCGGTGTTTACGATAGTCCCGCCTGGCCAACCTCTAGCGCATCCCTGGACGGACCTTGCTAACAACAATACCGCTTGCTTTACACTAAATTCTGGTTTCCCCCACATGTGTAACGCACCCTGGGTGGGTTTGGAGGTTATATTTTTTAGTGATGAACCGACCTCTGAACAACGAAATGGAACATCTGAACGTGTAGACCAACACAAGCAACTTACGCAAACCCATTGACTTCGCTCAACCACGATGCGACGCTGGAAAGCTGAAATAAACATACCAGCGCCTCCGAGTGTCACGGCTTGACACGCCGAGGCAGGACTGTGATAAAAGCCAGCCAGCTCCGGTGCATAATTCGTGAATTCGCCGCCGGCCCAACGGGCCAGGGCGTGCTAAGATCTCCGCTACCTGGTTAACAGTATTTCTAGTTCGCGCGCGCGGGGCGGCCCCTGGGGGTCCCCGGACGAAAAGTACCCCGGCAAGGTCCCGGCAAGTCCCCGGCAAGTCCCCGGCAAGGTCCCGGCAAGGTCGGGCCAGAGATGCCGGAGCCCTGTTACAGGGCCCCATGGGGCCCTGTAACAGGACGGGCCAAGAGGTCCCCAAGAAGCCTCCAAGACGGTCCAGGAGGGCCCCGAGACGGCCAAAGATCGCCCGAAGACGCCCAACAGGGCCCCAAGACAGCCCAAGAGGCCTCCAAGACGCCCCAAGGGTCTTCCAAGAGGCCTCCGAGGAGGGCCCCAAGAGGCCAAAATCGTTGATTTTCATTGTTTTTTCTATGTTTTTTGCGTTCTGGCTTTTTCGGCTTCCGGACGCTCCAAGACAGCCCAAGAGGCCCCCAAGACCGCTCCAAGACGGCCCACGAGGCTCCCAAGACGGCCCCGGAACGGCCCAGGAGGGCCCCCAAGACGGCCCAAGTGCCGCCCAAGACGGACCAAGAGGCCCCAAGACGGGCCCAAGAGGGGCTCAAGAGGGGAACCGAGAACTGAAAAATCGAGCCCTCCGCCCCAGAAGGCGCCCAGGAGGCCCCAAAAAGGCCCCAAGAGGCCCCCAAGAGGCCCCCAAGACGCCCCAAGAGGCGCCCAAGAGGCCCAAAAGAGGCCCCAAGAGGCCCCAAAACGGCCCCCAAGAGGCCCCAAAACTCGGCTAGCCCACAACGGTGCGACAATATGGGCTGGCGGAATGAGCGAAGCGATTAAATGATGGTACGATGAATAAGCTTCGCGCGACGAGGCGCAGAACACATAAGGCCATTCGTAATGCGAGGTAATGGCGTTCACAATTCTTCCCTTGATTCACCTGACGCTCACTTCTGGCATGAATGATATAACGCATTGGCGACGGGCGCGGCGTCTGCGGCGTGAGACTGGCTGTGGCCGACACGTTGACCGCTTCACTGTGCTATTCAACGTGCCCTTGGTCACATAGCCTTTGTCATCATCAATCAACGCGTTGTTGCCAGCCGGGCGCCGTCAACAAATGTCGTCGACATCACACGAATCATGTTAACCAAGTTGGTAACACCGTCGGGCCTGCACCTCACTGGCACTATCATTTCGTCTTGGGGGAAAGAGGTGAAACAGGGTATGGCGGAAACAAGTCCACATTGCCCCCATACGGCTTGAAGAGGTACATCTCGTACGTTGGCCCGCTTTGCACATGAAACCGACGGAATGCTGGCGCATCCCCACATTGCGGCCACGACTTCGTGAAACGAGCATCTGTGATTGGACCGTCCGCTGGCTCCGTACAACGAATAGTCGAAACGATCGACACCTGACGCTGTTGGGTAGCCTGATGCGACGCATGCGCCGATGGTAGTCGCACACGCGTGAATCAAGGATGGCACTGATGTCAGTAAGTGCAATGGCGTTGCGCTATGTTGTCTTGTTTGAGGAGCGGGAGTTTGAACACGATGATCGGGACGACTATTCGAGTGTCGCCCCATTGCGCATCCAACGACGCCAGACCTCATTATAAACAGTATAAGCAGTGCTCTCTCTGTATCTCTGTCCCTCTTTCTGACAGGTCGTGTGCACACTGCGTCTAACTAGCACATACTGGCGTCTGTTCGTTCATTGCCAGCAGCGGCCACTAAACGCCAAAACTCGTGCTGGCTGTGTACCACTCTACCCATGTTGCGAATATACACGACATGACATCCACTCAAACAAAGCCCTGGACCGTGAACGATTTCTCGCATAACTTCGGCACCCGATTTGCGCAACTCGGACACGGCAACGTCGGGGCAGAAGATAACCAAACTCCCATAAACGGTGACATCGCAGCAGGGAACATTGTTCAACTGCTTCGCAAATGGGCGAACTTCTGGTTGACCTAACCTCCTGACCCCTCCCCTTCCCAATCTCCAGGGCGGAGAAAAAAAGGTCGGATGATGTGTCGGTCCCAAACTGCGGTTTCTTCCAGGAGCCAATGTCCCCTGTGGTGAATGTCCCCGTTTCTAGGGGTCTGAGATAATATCGGCCTGGCGATTCAGCCAAGGTAACACGAACTCCGATGAAGCCCCAGTAAGCAGCACGGGTATGCGCCCCCAATGCCCTGATTCGAAGCCGCTCATTGGACTGGCTGATGAGATGACAGCTTCGTCGTTGCCAAACGCTGGCCTCACCAACAACAGGCGAACCATGTACCTCGCAAGAGGGTGCAATCGCGCTATGTTCTTCTCCCGATAGTCGATTGGTGGTGATATCAACCAAGCCGCTCGCACTTTGCCTGAGGCGCGCAACCTCATTGTAAGCAATGCTGCCAGCTGCCCGCCAGCCGATTCACCACAAAGTACTAGCTTGTCTCTGTCACCGTGAAACTCTGCCGCGTGTTCCTGAGGACAGCCGATAAGGGGGCACTGGCTCTAGGGGGGGGGGCATCGGTCTAGAACGATGAGATGTCGCCGATAGATGGGCCCCGCATGGCGAAGTCGCACAATCCTTGGCAAGGAAGATCACCCAAGCCCCGATCGGCGACGAGCGCGATTGAGCCACTCCCCCCTCTTCAGCTAGAGGCCTCCAAAAAGAGGTCCTGGCACATGGGGTCGGAAGACAGGGCCTTCATGCCGATGCATTCGCGACGTCGGCGATGCATCGGCGATGTCAGCGTGGAACAACTCTGGCTCAGAATCGAGCCGCATCGCCAATGCATCGCCGATACGGTGCGATCCTCCGACCCCATCCACTCGGACCCCGTTTGTGAAGCCCGGACCAGCGCCCCTGAGTTCCATGGACCAGCCGACAGCCCGTTCGCACTCCAGCAGATGCTCTGGGTGCTTCACGTCGGGGCGAAACACCTGACGGGCCACGGCGGCGAAGAGGAACACCGCAGTGACAACTGAGGCCACGGCGCACGGACCAAGAGACCCTCGCTGCAGCCACCCGTCTGACCTAAGATCACCCTGACGACGAGGCCAAAACCAAAACAACATCGGATCGAGATGGATCGGGAATCTCTGAGACCGGCGGTTCTGGAAGATGTATTGGGCGCCGCGGCCGTTCCAAAGGATTCCAGAACGCTCCGAGTGTGATCCGGGAACGCTCTGCAACAATCCACCCTGGTCCTGGGCCCACCCGATACCCTCGTCTTGACCCAACCCCGCTTCCACATCCCCCTTCGGGCAGGCGACGGAGACATCAGAAGTCTGGCGGTTCAGAAGCGAGAGTTCGAGGCGACCGGTTTCTCTCCATCGTTGCCCTCGGGGAACCGGTTTCGAGCCCAAAGACCATCGACTGGCGACTCGGGATAAAAAACAGATCCCAGGGAAAGGTTCGAGAAGCCCTGGGGGGGGTGTCCAACTATACGAATCGCGCCGCCGTATCTCTAGGGTAGGAGGGCGGCACCGTACGGTTGCCTGGGCCCAACCCCGTCCAACTCCTCCCTCGTAGGGGCTACGGCGAGCCCAAAGATCCGGCGGCTTAGAAAAAACGAGACGGCCTGTTTTACCCCACTGCTTCGTGACACTGGCTCCGGGGCCCAGGGACCGTCAACAGACGACTCACGATGAAAAGCCGACCGTGGGGAAGGGCTCGAGCGGTCAGGGGGGCCATGTCTCTAAAACATCGCGACGCTGGATCTCTGAGGAGGAAGCGGGCTAGGGTGGATTGGACTTGCGGCAGTAACGAATGCCTCTTGGTTGAAATCGAAGGTCTGATATAGACCATTGCCCCACTGCCGAGGAGGAGCAATGTGGGCGCCAGCAGCACAGCCTTTGGCAATGGAGATAGCGAGTAATCCACCATATTGAGGCCCAGGAATCCATCCATTGCGCTGTTCTCCAGAGCGAGAAATGATTTGAGATGGGGTAGTGGACTCCAGAGTGGCGACCAGAAGGCTGACCGAGGGGAGAAGAAGAGCGGCATGAAGTGAGGGAGACGGGGAGGAGAACGAGGAGAGATGAGGGGAAGGGGATGTGAGGAGCATGGGGTGGACGAGTAACATAGAAGGTGGGACGCAGGATGAGGAAATATGGGTATCAAACGGAGGAGGGAAAAAGGAGTGAGGAGTGAAGAGGAGGACCAGAGTGAGCCCAAGATGCATCAACGGTGCAGTTACGCACCCTCCCTTCCCAGGCCCCCCCCCCGCATGAATCCCTACAAACGCTCCTTGTCAGTACAAGAATCAACTCCTTGAAGAACAGACCCCAACCCATGGGCCCGCCATTCAGGCGAGATCCCTGTTTTGAACAGAAAATGCCTGGCACTGTTTTACCGGGAAACATGACATGCGAAACATAACGGTCATACAGTCCAGTGGTGTCCAGCGAGATCCTCGTCCTCAAACATGACAACCCCCTTTGGAGACTGGCTGATTCATCCGATGGCGACTCCTCCGCTACGACTCATCCGATCCCTGGTTCGGGTGAACCGCGACCGGATGAGCTAGTCACTGGATGAGTTAGCCCAGTCATCGAATAAGTTAGCCCCAGTGAGTTAGGCAACGGATGAATTAGGAACCAGATGACACCAGATGAGTCAGGCAGCAGATTAGGTAGGAATCAAATGAACGAGAACCAGATGAGCTTGGCAACGGGTGGGTTTGGTATTGGACGAGCTTGGCACCAAATGAATTTGGCACCGGATGAATTGGAAACCGGATGAGTTTGGCACCGGATGAGATTGGCACAGATGATTAAAACACCATATTCATTTCGTACAGGATGAGTTTGGCACCAAATGAGTTTGGCACCAAATGAGTTTCGCATCGGATGAGTCCGACACCGGATGAATCTGGCACCGAATGAGTCTGGTACCGGATGAGTTTCGCCTGGGTAAATTCAGTTAGGCGCTGGATGAGTTTCCCGAGGCCATTCTGGAGACCTTCTTGAGCTTATCCTGGGGCAAACGGGGGACTAGAATTGGTTTGACTACAAAAGGGTTTGTAGCCAAGCAACATGTCAATTGGTTTTGAGCTACTTTTGGATGTTTTTGGAGCCGACGTTGGGAGCTCGCTGCTTCCCGAGGATATTCTGGAAGGATTATCGGGGGTATCCTGGGGCAGCAGGGGGGGTGCAAATTTGAGTTACCTTTTAGTTATTATTGGATATCTGTGAAGCCGAAGTTGAGGACTCGCTGCTCCCCGAGGCTCGTCAGGAAGGTTTCTTTAGGGTATCCTGTGGCAGCGGGGGGGGGGCAGAATTTGCTTGAATTTAAAGCGGTTCATAGTCAAGCAAACGGTGTGTTACATTATTTAAAGTTTGCAGATTGTCTTCCAAGCCGTTCTGGGGGCTCCCAAGGCTATTCTGGATGGTTTTTTGGGAGGGCATCCAGGGGCAGAGGAAATACCAGAATTTGCTTGACTACAAAGCGGTTTGTAGTCAAGCAGCTTTTGCGTTGGGGGCTCGTTGCTTCCCGAAACAAGACTGGAGGGCTTCTTCGGGGTATCCTGGGGCAGATGGGGGGCCATGATTTGCGTGACTTCATAAAGGTTTGTAGTCAAGCAAATGTGTCAAATATGTTTGGGTTTTTTGACGCCGATTTTGGGACTCGCTGCTTCCCGAGGCTATGTTGGAGGGCTTCTCGGGGATACCCTGGGGCAGATGGGGGGTCAGAGTTTTCTTGATTACAAAACGGTTTGCATTCAAGCCTAGCCAAGCATATCAATCAAGGTGCCGGATGCGTTAGGTTGGATCAGTTTAGGGCATCCGGTGACTGACGGACTGGATGAAGCTGGCACCGGATGAGTTCTGGTACCAGATGAGCTAAGGCAACGGATGAGTAAGGGTACCGTATGGCTTTGGCACCGGATGAACTACGCACCAAATGAATTGGGCTTGGGATGAATTTGGCACCCGATGAAATTGGCACGGGATGAATTTGGTATCGTATGGGTTCGGCCGGTGTAAGTTTAGCTTGGCACCAGAAGAGTTAGCTCCCCGAGGCTATTCTGGAGGGGTTTATGAGTTGATCCTGGTGCAGACGGGGGTTAGACGTTGTTTGACTACAAGACGGTTTATAGTGAAACAAAGTGTGTTGATTTTAACATATTTGTTTGATATCTTTCAAGCCGACATTTGGAGCTCGCTGCTTCCCGAGGCTATTCTGGAGGCTTGGGGGCATCATTGGGCAGACGGGGTTTCGAATTTGTTTGACTACAAGACGGTTCATACTCACGCAAATTGTGAGTTACTTTTGAAATACTTTCGGAAGCTTTTTGGAGCCGACGTTGGGAGTTCGCTGCTTCCTGAGGCTATTATGGAGGGCTTCTTGGGGGCATCCTGGGGCACAAGAAGGGTAATAATTTGCTTGACTACACAACGGTTTGTAGTAAAGCAAACTTTGAAATACTTTCGAATTGCTTTTGAGTCATCGTTAAATGTCTTTGAAGCTGGCGTTGGGGTCTCCAGAAGCTCGTTAGGAGGGTGTCTTTGGGATATCCTGGGGCAGATGGGTTGCCAGAACTTGCTTGACTACCAAACGTTTTGTAATGAAGCAAAGTGTGTGTTAAATTTGATTTAATGTTGGATGTCTTTGAAGCCGACGCTGGGGGCTCTCAGTGATGTTCTAGAGGGTTTCTTGGGGGTATCCAGGGGCAGAGGAATTGCCAGAATTTGCGTGACTACAACACGGTTTGTAATTAAACATACTCTGATTTGTCTGGAATGATTGTTGGATGTCTTTGAAGCCGACTTTGAGAACTCGCTGCTACCCGAAGATATTCTGGAGGGCTTCTTTGGGGGCCTGGGGAATTGCTTGACTGTACGACGGTTTGTAATCAAGCATCAAGTTGAGGTGCTTTGCGTTACGTGTGAGTTATGGTTGGATGCTTTTGAAACCGACGTTGGGGGGCTTGCTGCTTCCCGAATCTATTCTGGAGGGATTCGTGGGGGCATCCCGTGGCAAGTGAGGCGCCTGGAATTGCTTGAATAATTACTCAACGGTTTGAGTTCCAGCAAATGTTGAATAGTTGTTGAATTATTTTTGGATGTCTTTGAAGCCGACGTTGGCGAGGTTCATCTGGAGGGCTTCTTGGGGTATCCTGGGGCAGCAATGGGGTCCGATTTTTTTTGCCTGCGAAACGGTTCGTGGTCAAACATATCCAAGCGTGTCCATCAAAGTGCCGGATGCGTTCGGTTGGATGAGTTTAGGGCACTCGATGGGTGACGGACCGGGTGAAGCTGGTATCGGATAAGCTCTGGCACCACATGAACAAGGGCAGCGGATGAGTAAGGGCACCTCATGGGCTTGGCACCAATTTAGCTTGGCAGCGGATGAGTTTGACACTGAATCAAATCCGCATCAGATGAATTTGGCTTTGGATGAAATTGGCACCGGATGAATTTGGTTTTGGATTAATTTCAAATGATTTTGGCACCGTGTGAGTTAGGCTTGGGTAGATTAAGTTAGACACAGGACGAGTTAGTTCCCCGAGGCTATTCTGGAGGGTTTCCTGGGCGTAATTATCCTGGGGCAGGCGAGATGCTACAAGTTGTTTGACTGCAGAGCAGTTTGTAGTTAAGCAATATGAGAGTTGCTGTTGAATTAGTTTTGGATGTCTTCGAAGCCGACGTTTGCAGCTCGCTGCGTCCCGAAGCTATTATGGAGGGCTTCCTGGGGGCATACTGGGGCAGACGAGGTGTCGACTTCATTTGACTGCGAAGCGGTTCGTAATCAGCCAAGCTGTGAGCTGTTTTTGAATTACTTTTGGGTGTCTTTGCAGTCGACGTTGGAAGCTCGCTGCTTCCCGAGGCTATTCTGAAGGGCTTCTTGGGGGCACCCTGGTTTAAACGAGGGAACATATTCTGTTGGACTACAAAACGATGTATAATCAAGCACGTTGTGAATTGCTTTTGGATTG